TCCAGAGTGCTTTCTCAATTCTGACTGACTGGTTGGCATAGCAGGTTGATGAACCCTGTAGAATCCTCAAGTCGTTAGCACTACACTAGATGGTCACCTGCTGGGTTGTTGTTGTTCCCCCTGGCTTTCATGTGTTTCACTGATACCACCTGAGGCTGAGCGTGAACGACTGTGGAAGCGTCTGGGCAAAGTTGAAAGAACTGCATTGTAGGTAGGTGATAGACGTCTTAGGCCACCTCCTCTGTTCAACGACGGTCGTTCATTTGAAGCAGTTGTCCTCCCGGTCCACCTACAATGCAGTTCTTTCAACTTTGCCAAGGCGCTTCCAAAGTCGTTCACGCTCGGCCCCCCCATACACTAACGGCTGTAACTGAGCATGGGACGTTTCCCTTACCTGAGCATTCGGGGGTTTTGAGCGGTGCTGTGACCTCTGACCTCTGTGTGTGGGATGAACCGGGGCAGGGGGGGTGGCAGGTGAAGTTAAAGCGGCTCTTCTCCTCCCTCAACCATGTCTTGCAAACACGCTCCAAGCTCCCAAAAGGCTGCCCTCTGGCACTGTCATGCAAAATCTCTTCCCCCGTCCGAATCCCTTCCCCCTGTGACATATCACTCAGCTGTTTGTTCTTAAGTTTATTTGGTTACATTAAAATTAGCCATAAGCTGAAAGGTAAAGACCACTTTATGGTCACTACATTACTTGTATAACTAAAGCTGTCGATGTGGAATGTTCTGCTCCACTTTGGATCCAAGGACACTGTTACCTGTCAGTTTTTACAGTGTCCTTCACAGGAATAAGGAAGTTAGCATCTCCCCACACTCTCCATGCAGTATAAGTATTTAACTTGGTGTTGGGATGTAAGCAGTTCTTTAATGTTTGGTTACTTTAACCAAGTCCTGTAATCTGAAAGGTAAATAGCTAAATATAACTTCACAGTCACTACATGACTTGTTTGACAAAACCTGTTAATATGAAATAAATCATAATATGAGATGAAGCCATTATCACCTGCTGATCACAATGAGCCAAACACAGAGGTAAATATGCACTAGGGGGCAGTCATGCATGTTTAATTATAAAAACACACGCTGATTTAATACAACTATACTGTTAAATAACCAGTTTTGGGCTGAGCTTAGGTAGGGATATTGTAGTGTTTTTGTATAAGGAATAGGCATGTAACGATGAATCACGAATCAGTTAAAAATCGATGTAAATGTATGACGATTTAAACCGGCTGATGTAGAAAATTAATCGCTAATTTAGGAGTACTTCACGGTACTTTACTTAACAGAATAATCACCCCGATAATCACAAACGAAAACGGCGAGAAAAGCACAGACAAGACAAAAACTGCTTGTAAAAGAGTGATAACATACACAAATAGCACAACGAACATACTTCAGCATGTTCACCGGCACCGCAGTGAGCTCAATTAACCACCGCCAAAACGAAGATTATTAAAAGGGCAAACCATGCTAAAAAGCTGCACATGCAATCCTTATTTTATTTGGTAACGCTTTATATTAAGTGCGCCTTCATAATGCATTCATTATGCATTTATAGAACATTCAGTGCACCTTCATAATGCATTCATATAACATTCATAAGCAGCATGCAAGTACACCTTAACATCCCTTAACAGCTTTAATATACATTAATAACAAACATAACATGATTATACAATTATAATGTTTGTTATTATATAATGTTTGTTATTAATGTATATTACAGCTGTTAAGGGATGTTAGGATGTAAAGGTATACATGCATGATGTTTATGAATGCTTTTGGAATAGATTATGAAGGTGCACTGAACGTTTTATAAATGCAATATAAAAGCATTATGAAGGTGCAGTTAAATGTAAAGTGTTACTGTTTAGTTATTTGAAGATTTATTTATTTTTAAATTTTGATTTGGGATAAAAAAAAAAAATCAGTTGCACTGTTAAGAAGAGGACACATTTTGCACGGTTTAGAAAGATAAAGGAATATTTTTTAATGAATTTGTCTGCAGCTCATTCTGTTAAAAAATTGTGAGAAAATCATATTGTGAACTCAAAATCGTTAGTTGAGTGTATCGTTACATCCCTAATAAGGAAGGTCATTTATATGTGAATTGTGTTGTACTTGCATCCTGGGTTTTAGGTAAAGTACCCAGACTCTCCCATGGTGATTCCAGTCCACACTGGCTTTTACTGACTCAATTCTGTGGTGTCACAAACATTCCCTTGTTGTAATACAGCTTCACCTTCTGCTGTCCACAGGCTACAGAGGAGAGCAGCACTGAAGTCTGAAGGATCCTAACCACACTTTGTTGTTTTCAGCCTACAGTCTTAAGTTTCCAAGTCCTGTTGTATAAACTGGTCAGATGAATAGTCACCAGATTATCAATGATCTGTTACAGTTCATTTTATTAGACTTTTCTGGGTAGCAGATGAACATTTGCTTGTACAGATTGGCATAGAAAATGGCTTTCTCAACCAGCCTTAATCGGGTAATCAGGGAGTATGGTGTGTGTATGTATGTTCCATCTCTTCACCATGGTTCATCAGTTTGTGTGGGTGAGTTCACGTCAGCTAGTGCCTCGCTGTCCTGTGGGGTACCTCAGGGTTCTGTCCTTGTGCATACATGCTACCGTTAGCTCGCATTATTAACTCTGTTAAGGATATTTGTTATTTTTATGCTGATGACAACCAGCTTTACTGTTCTTTTAAGCCTCAACATTTGCACACGTTTGCCTTCCTTGTTGACTGTCTGACAGTGATTAATAGATGGCTTTTAGCTAACAATTTAAAGCTAAACTCAGATAACTGATCTTCTCATTTTTGCCCATCCTGACCTGTATCTGGCAATTTGCCGTTACCTTTAATCACTTTCTAGCTTTTCTTGGGTCTCTCTACATAATTTAGGTGTTTGTCTTCGATCAGTCCTTGAATGTTGATGTTCATGAGGTCCCTTAGTCCCTCCTGCTTTTAAACGTTTGAGAATTTTGTCTAAGTTAAGGACTGTTGTCTCTAAAGCTGAGATGGAAATGCTTATTCATGCGTTTATCTCATCACACATAGATTTTTGTAACTCTATTTTTATCTGTCTAAGTAAATCTGGATTAACTCCTCTCCTTAGGTTATATTCTATATTTTAACTTCAATGACATTTTCTTTATTTTATTTTGCGGCGCTTTGTGACGTTTGAAAAAAAAAGTGCTTTATAAATAAACTTTACTTACTAACTACTTACTATCTGCAAAGAAATGTGTTCTTTACAAAATTAAAATGTGCATTATAATTATCTGTAATTATTCTGAATAAATCCTCACTGTCATTTGCTGTTAGTTTAAGTTTAAAAGCATGTTCAGCTATTTGGTGCTGCCACACTGAGTATATTTGTAAGGCTGTCGGCTGTTGACCTGAATGTCTTCCCTGTAATGGGTGTGTTGCTACCCCATGCTGGCCAGGGGTGTGTTTCCCTTACAATGACGGAGGATCGCATTACACTAACATGGTACGATGCATCATTAGACTAACATCTGAAGTACGACTGGTTCCCAAGGCTATCATACTTAGTACCAGAGTAGTTTGTATCATGTTCATACTACAGTGGTCCCAGAGGTGCTTGGTCTGACTTTCACAGAGGGAAGTGTGCGAAAACTCACAAACTATTTAATATTACTCCTAAGTATGACAGCTGTGACAATATTACATTACTGATTTATTATTAATTTTAAATAATATAATTATTTTATAATAACTAATGATATTAACATTTCAGAAATAGTAGCATCGTAATAATATGATGTACTTCTTGTATTGGAGTGAAATCGACTCTATCTGTAATTAGATTTTTTATTATTTTATTTTAAAGACAATATAAACACTTATAAACTCCTGATCCATCACTGTTCATACAGCATATTTGCAGCTCAGTGGTACGACGGGTGTGCGCAACACCCATCATGGTATAACACCCATCATGGTGTAACAAAATTTCTCAGTTACACAGCTACAGGTTTGTGATGGTTTTTTTTGTCATGTCAACAAAAGCTCTGAGTGATTAAGAATTAATTCATTATTTTTAGTCACTAGTTTGTTCAGGTGTTGCATTTAATATTGTGTTTACAGTATAAGGCGCACTCTGTTGCGAGACATCGTAAAATACTTAGCATGAAAAAGCTTCCAAGCATTTCGGCCTTGATTTTTTGCCAGGCATAAGTGTTTATGACCAGATATGTCTGAGAAATTTGGTGACATTTGATTGCTGTTTTAGTACATTAAGCCACAATATGATTTTTCCTTATAATGGGAGCAAGTGGAGAGGAAAACGCTTTTAAGCTGGTGCCCTGATGCAAATCGGTGAATCTTACATCCCTCTCCAGATCACTAAAGGTAAAGGTAAAAGCCCCACACATGATTTGTAAAACACAAAACATAAACACACTGCAGTTATCACAAAGGGGTGTTCTACAAAGCATGGTGGTATTCCATGAAGCAGGATTTCTAAGTTAGCTGGGTTAACTTAAGCTATAAGTCATGATTCTCCAAATAGAGTTTTGGAGACACCCCCTTGTAGACTTCTAGCCTAAGTAACCTGGCTACTGAAGTAATCCTGCTTTGTGGAATACCCCCCTGCTTTGCGTAACACCTCCCAGGATTTCTCTGTTATCTGTCTTAATTTGAGCTAGAAATCATGATCGTCCCATAAGAATTTAGATAAGGAGCATTCCTATTGGACAATCATTACTTCTAGCTTTGTGTTTACAGGGCAAAAGGTGCAAAAAAAAAAATTAAAGTCTTGTGCTTTCTTAAGCTTCCACACCAAGGTAGCATGGATTCATGGTCATGGAAATACAAACCGAGATGAAGCCAAGACTGCACATGCTTGGTAGTCCATTTCGACAGGTTGCATATATTGACAGAACACATGGTTCCCTGCTGCAGTACACAATTTCTTGTTGACTTGATTACTCATAAAGTATGTCACTGATCTTTTTCAAACTTTATCATAGGCCAAAGAGCAAGTGAAAGAGGTAGCAGGCAGGGTATATAAACATGAGAAACATGAGGGCTATGTCAGAGGCCAAAGAGCAAGTCACAGAGGCTGCAGGCAGGGTATATACACATGAGAAACATGAGGGCTATGTCAGAGGCCAAAGAGCAAGTCACAGAGGCGGCAGGCAGGGTATATACACATGAGAAACGTGAGGGCTATGTCAGAGGCCAAAGAGCAAGTCACAGAGGCGGCAGGCAGGGTATATACACATGAGAAACGTGAGGGCTATGTCAGAGGCCAAAGAGCAAGTCACAGAGGCTGCAGGCAGGGTATATACACATGAGAAACGTGAGGGCTATGTCAGAGGCCAAAGAGCAAGTAACAGAGGCTGCAGGCAGGGTATATACACATGAGAAACGTGAGGGCTATATCAGAGGCCAAAGAGTAAGTAACAGAGGCTGCAGGCAGGGTATATACACATGTGAAACGTGAGGGCTATGTCAGAGGCCAAAGAGTAAGTAACAGAGGCTGCAGGCAGGGTATATACACATGTGAAACGTGAGGGCTATGTCAGAGGCCAAAGAGTAAGTCACAGAGGCTGCAGGCAGGGTATATACACATGAGAAACGTGAGGGCTATGTCAGAGGCCAAAGAGTAAGAGATGACTAATAATGCATCAGGTAAAAACCCTTAAACACCATACACCCCAATCAGCTCCAAGCCAGGACTAGGTTATATTCCCAGCCACTACACACAGTAGATCTATTTGAGTTGAATGACCCTCATATCCACTGTCAGATGGCCAAATTTGGCAAGTAAGATTCCGGACGAGTCCCCAATAAATGTTACACGCCCTCGGGATAACATCTAGGAATGGAGGGGCATCAATAACATTTAAGTGGCGGACAGTAGGAGGAGCACCCCAAACAGATAGTCTATACACACACGCACAAACACGTACTCAGTTCTACAGCCGGGGAGTAAAGACAGGACATTTATTTCACCGGAAATACTCAGCAGAAGATTAACCTAAAAACAAAACATGCTCATAAAGAAGAGGGACTGGACTGTGGACGGCGCAAAAGGAAAGAACACAACAAAACCGTCAGTAGGTTATCTAACTCGAAAAATAAAATAAGCAAAATAACACCTAACTAGTCTAAGTATTACTTCTGAAAACATAAAATACAGGTGGTTGCACTCACCCCTTTACCTAGGGTGTCTTAACACAGACTCGAACCTGCGTGACAGGAGTACAGGCGCGCACCTGCTACCCTGTCCAGCCCTCCGAACCAAATTTCCGGAACAGAACAAGCTGGGACAAACCGGCACATTACAGACGGCAGACAGCTGGAAAAAGCCGTCCTCCTCCTGTAGTTCCCGGGCAAGATGTAAGACGGCAGTTCCTCCTTTCCAGCACGATGGTTGGCCGATGGAGACGTGCGACGTCATCGGATGAATTCGACAATTGGCCGACGGAAGTGAGCTGGACATGATTTGCTGCCAGACAATTGAGAACCGTCCCCTTTCAACAAGAATGAGGCATGCATTCACAATGCACGCAGACACACACACACCAGCACAACTAGCACAGCTACGGCCTATGCACCGTAACACCTCACTGAAGAATTTTGCAAAAATTAATGTTCATCCACCAAAATGACTCCCCTACAATGTATGGATAGAATGATGGCATGAAAAGTTAGATATCACCAAAGCCTATTATAGGGGGGGTAGAGATAGAGGTTGGGTATGGGGTTGGGATTAAATGGGGGAGGGAATGTGGCTGGGCCATCCAGGGAATACATCATTGCCATTTTCTATCACCTTCTTTGTCAATGTTACTCTTAATTTTCATATAATCTATTGATAAATTGTGTTTTTTGTTCTGAGCACATATACCCTTATTACTCAAATAAATAGATTTAAACTTTTACTTTGACTAAGACTTCTGCACAATACTGTATGTTTCAGTTCCATGTGTCAAATCTGTGCCCAAGAAGCTCTCATATTAACAGTCCTTAACATCCAATTGCTTTGAAGCCATTCCTTAGACTGCATCCCATCCGCAGAGTCCCACCTCCATCTGCTGTGCTCCACAACTAAAAGGTGGAGGGACTCATTTCTTAAATGCACTACATATATAACCTTGTGTCCAGTGTTTCATAATGTCCTAGCTCTTGCACTCTAGTGGGACTTGACCCCAAATCCTTGGAATGACCTTTGATTAGAAGTCTAATGTACTATTCATTGCATCACACAGCCATGGATTAGTTTATGCTCGAAACATTTTGCAATATATTCAACATTTATTAAATAATTCTATTTCTGGTGATCCAGAATATGCAATCACAAATAAGTCTTAGTTGGCCAAGCCTTTTAATCATATATTTTATTTGATTCGGTCATTTAGACTTCCTGTTTCTCATATGCATACATTTCACATGGATGTCTCCATAGTCAGTTTTATTGAAAATGATTGATAACATTAATAAAAACAAGTAATTCTTGGAGAATTTAATAGAACCAAAGGTATGATATTTGTCCTGTAGCAGATCAACTGGCAGAAATTTTAACTGAAATCTGCATTTCAGCATGCCTGCACCTTCTGCGCTGCTTCCCAAATAGTTATATAATGAAACACATTGGTGCTGATATCTTCAGGGGCAATTTATTCATAGTTACTGATAATAAAAAATAAAAGTACATGTAAAAATTAAAGATATAATAAAAATCACATTTCTCTAAGTATTTATACCAGCCAGAGGTAATAAACTGATATTTTTAATTGATTGTGATATTTATACTTTGTTACCCAGATTCATGCATAATTACAAGATTTCACCCTCATGGTTCCATGAGGAATTTTACTGAAAATTGGTTTACAAACAACAACAAGTATTAGAGCCAAACTCCTTTTTGTGATACAGCTACACTAAGGGACCAGTTCATACCCATAATCACTTGTGAAGCCAGGAGATATTTTTTGTGAAATTAAATCAACAGTCCATAGCCTGTCTGCTATGGGAGATGTGATGTAGGGCATCTGATTGTGTACCTGGCTCTCTATCTATCTATCTCTCGAAGGAAAACAAGCTAATTAATAAAGGAATTTACATAGTTTTATATCAATCAGGCATACAATGTGCCAGTTTTAAGTTAAGTGAAAAGAAAATAACAAAAAGGTAACCAACATAACTGCATTGGGCATAACAGTTCAAAATGTTTAAAATAATGCAGAAAATGAGAATATATATGAACCATTCCCCATATTTTTTCAGCCCACATGGCGCTTTCGGTTTCCTTTCGCTTTGAGCCCTTTTTTGAACAGACAGCTCCATCTAGTGGGGTCAGAACGTAGAGCAAATTGTTCCCGAAGTGTCATTTTGGCCACCAGTACTGTTTGGCAAGTGTTTGTCACTTTCTGACGATAAAGAATACTTTTTAACTACGATTAACCATCTGGTTTCTTCATTTTTAATTCAGGAGTAAAAATCAGCTTTCAAACTGAAAAGAACTAATGACTTGACGTTTATCACCATAATTATTGATATTGACCAATATGAAAATTATCGTGATGGACATTTTTGGCCATATAGCCCTGCTCTAATGCCAGAGTTTTTTCCCCCATCATAAACCCATCTTAGACTAGACAAGAAGTTAAAGCAATAAAATGGTTATTTGCAATATGTATCTATTCACATCCACCGTCACGTCAGATCAGTTACCCTATGATGAACCTCATACACCTGTTAAAGTATGTCACAAATAGACAAAGAGTAGTCTTGAGAGATGGAAAAACCTGGATAAAGAGGCTCAGTGAACTTGGTGTTGACCTGGTGCACAAGAACAGTACGTTTGTCAATCCTGTAGAAAGCCAGGACCCCAGCTGGCCAATCCAGGTACACCCCCACCCTGTGGGACCGCGAAGAGTTGGTCTGCATCTTGCTCGACTTACCATCGTGAAAGAAAAGAAAAATATCCCCAGGAGAACATAACTTCCAGGACTTATTGCTGAAT